TGTACCATTGTCCTCTTTTATGCTAAGAAATAAGTCATCCGACAGTTCTCTCTCAAGTGGTTCCACTTCTGCCAGCATTAAGTCTGAGTATGATTCAGTGGGCTATATAACACTTAATTGTCAGGAAATTCCTTGTCTTTAAAAGTTTTGGTTCAATATACTTACCTGTTGATCAAAAATAGCCTTAAACCTACCACTTTTTTTTTTTTTTTTTTTAATTTAGTAACTTTCAGGAGGGTGTACTCATTTTTGCAACACAAAATTTTATCACTTTGATAAGAAAATCTTATTTTGCTGAATAATTTTGGCATTCTTCTTTGGTAATTGATCAAGCAGGCTTGTTGGAACATTACATCTCCAAAGAACCCTAACATGTCTTCTAAGTAAAGAGTAATTGCTGAATTTGTTAAGTTTTAGAGGAGGTGTACTCATTTATGCTGTGCACTGTATGTTTATTAATGTGCATTGCCCCTGTAAACAAATAAACTAAACTAAACAACTAATTTGGCCGCGATTCAGGGTTCCGTTTTGTCAGAAACCTTGGAAATCCAGCCAAATGTTGTGTAGTGTGAGCTGCCTTAACACTATACAATAAGGTTAAATTCATTAACATTAGTTACTGCATTAGGTATCACAAACTATTAACAGTTTACAGCATTTGTTAATCTAGGTTAATGTTAACTTCTAAATATTATTCTAAGGTAATTCATTATTTTAAGGTAATGTAATACATTAAATTATACAACTTGAGATGGTGTAAATGTATTTGTACATATATATAAATTAACATTAACAGACTTTTGAAAGTATTTTATTATAAATTTGTTATAAGTATTACAACAAATTTAACCTTATTGCAATCTGTTACCTTCAGATCATAGTCTGACCATTTCCAAGAATTGTCCAAGTACAAGGAATGAGGCATTTTCACCCACAATAATCGAACTAAAAAACGCACACTCACTGGCAACATGCATATCAAGGCATTTGATTATTATGTCCATTTCAAAATGGCTCTTTTTGCTGTGCTCTTGTGACAAACATTACAATAGGAGACTTACACAACCACAGTCAGTGCCTAGTGCATTCTTTAGCTTTCTATGTTAACATCCAACAATGGATGCAAAATTAAGGGTAATTTGCTCCTTCATAAGATCTGAAGAAAGTGTAAAATAAACATGACAACTGATCAATTGTGTGTGAAAACAAAAATAAAAACACGAAACTAAGAAGTGAACGTTACTCCTTAAGTCCTCCTCCTCATGGTTTTAATTCTACCTTCGTCGTGAAAAAACTTAAAACGTATCAAAGCAGCAATGAATATTGCCATCAGCCTATTTTCCAGCCACGTTGCTACCAGCATTTTAATCTCCAGCCAGATTCACAATGGCCTGAAGTGCTTCAGAAGACATTCAAGAATCTGAATGTTGTCACCAGTGAGTCTTCATTTCTCTTCAGGAGTCATTGGTGTGTGAGATCTGTTTCCATAGCAGTGTCTTGAGGTTATTGAGAATGAGCGAGTGCTCCATTTCCATCTGCTCGGCTGAACCTTTGAGAGCCATGCAGGCGTACAGCTGCTTCTCCAGCTCTTCCTGTAGATGGACCGGAGCTCCTCGTAGGAGGTAATCCTTCAGTGCTCCGCAAGCCCTGGCCAGGTTGGGCTGAGTCACCTCGGCCGTGCAGCGGTGTTCTGCGCGGTCGCACAAAGTCCTACAGTCCACACCGTAGACACAGTCCCCGTCATCCTCGCAATGCTGAAGGATCATGGCCTGTTTGAAGGCCTCCTCAGCTACTACGCGCCGCCCGTCCACCAGCCTGAGGTCATGGCGATCGGTGTAACCAAAAGTACTGGCTCTCATGTCGCACATTAAGAAGCTCCCAAAGGTACCATGGAAGATGTCTTCTATAAGCTCCAGCAAGCCGATAAATATTTTAGCCTTGCGTGGCCAGGAAGGCGTGAACCACTGGTCCATGTTTCGCCACATGCCCGTAGGAATCCAAAGTTCCATGGGCCACGGCAGGCTGAGCCCGTACAGGGGAGTGTGAGGCACCCGCTCCACCACGTACAGGTCCCCGCAGAAGCCCAACAGTCTAGGTGTGTGGTCTCGGTCCTGGAGCACCACTACTAGCAGAACCTCGTTGAGTTGCAGCAAAGCCCATGTGGACTTGGCTTCTGGCAGAGAGATGTGGCCGTCTTTATTGCTGTCTGCCACTGAAAGAATCATGCTTACCAAACTGGAGAGGTTGGCTTGCTCTCCAACTTTTGCCTGTAGAAACAAAAATAATTTGCTATGATTTTATGATTTCATACACATCCAATTGTATGAAATTGATGTCAACTGATTTCAGTGAAAAATATAAATGCCAAAGCCCATAAGAGTGCTTTCACACTAGCACTTGGGTCATTTCCAAACTTTGGTAAACACCTGGAAACCATAAGAGAGTCCATTTTAAAGGGCTCCTATTATGCTTTTTTACATTTTCAACTTCCTTTAGTAGGTAATGTTGCTGTTTCTGCATGAAAAAGATCTGCAGAGTTATAAAGCACATAGTCCAATCCAAAGGGAGTTATTCTCTATATCAGTAAGCACTGTTTCTAAACTCCCTCAAATGCCTTGATAATAGTCCTGAGTTTTCTTCCGGGAGCGTTCATGTCACAATACCCCTCATTTAAATAATTCACACCCAAGGCATAAGCAAAAAAATATAAGGAGGCAAGGCCTGGTTGAGTTGTGTTAGAGATGATAAATATAACATGAGCTTGAGCACGATAGAGATGATAAAAACAAAAAGATATGAATGCTGTTTTTCAAACTCTGGTGTGCACCTGTCCATTTTTAAAAGCTGGACTAGCCGTAGAGTTCGCTGCAGATACGCAATAATCCTAAATAGTAGGAGTGAACAGCTATTGATTAAATGATTTGGTCAAATTGTGTGAGGCCCAGTCCCAAATAGCACACTTCAAGTGAACTTGTGGTCCTGTGGACTTACAATGGCCACCACGTGTGCATGTTCGCTAATTCGCCATTTTAAGTTTCAGAAGGGTGCATTTGAGCATTGAGTTATGTGTCCTTGACGTGTACTTAATCAAAACCTACCGACTTAGTCAAAGTTGCATTACTTCACAAAAGTGTGGACTCAGAGGAAGACCGTGAGGGCTTAGGGTGGCACTTGGAACAGAGTGTGCTCACTTAATTTCCTGATAAGCGTGACTGATGTACAGCAAGTAGAGAGATAAATGTATACCTAATTTCTGCTCGCCTCCAACACAAATTGACAAGTGTTTTCAGAACATTTGTTTCAGATGGACACAAGCACCGTTCATATTTGACACTTCAGAAACAAAACCAAAGATTCAAAAACAAAGTACAATAGTGAGGCAAGCAATACTTTCCATTTTGCTGCTTTTTTTTCTGCATACCTTAGTAAAAGCATTCCCACAAGTCCTGACCAATGAATTTACATGACTTTTCCATGAGTTATTTGAAATGACTGGATAAGCATGATTAAAAATAATTTTATATAGATACTTTAGAACTGAGTATGGTTATAAACTAGAAAAAATATGTACTAACTATAGCAATGACCTTGTAAGGTTTTATTAATCTGACAGAAAAATCACACTTTTAAAACATCCTCATCCTTCCAGGTTTTCCAAGAATGTGAGAACCTTGATTGCAAGCAGGAATGGCATGAGAAGTGAATTTGGTTAGGTTAAACAAACACTTGAAGGCAAATTCTCTACAATGCTGCACTATTTTAGCATGACTTGCGAAAGTTACAGGCACTGTGTTTATTTAAAGTCAGCCTGAAGTGGAAATTCTAAATGCACATTATTGATCTATTTGAGGACAATTCATCCATGCCATGCACGTTTCATACTTTATTTATTTATTTTTTAATCAAACTGCCATAACTAGTGACAAGACCTCTCTCTGGTGACATTTTTGTGGCTTTCCTTTAAAGAACTGAGTGCCGAACAATGCAAACAGTGCTGTGATTAGGACCTTTAATGAGCGGTAACAATTTTCTAAAACCAAAAAAAGCATCCAAACCTTCAAATGACTGGCAACCATCTCTTTGAACTTCTCAACAGAGGTTCCTCGAGTGGGTTTGTCAAAGAGTGCAACCTCTTTTTTTGGCTCCAACTCCTCTCCCAGCTCATAGTGCAGGATGTCACTCAGTTGACACTTGATGACACCGTCATGATCACCCCAGCTGCCTGTATAGACCTGAGAGCAACAGAGGAACACACTGTCATCATGACAGTACTGAGATGTATGTGGTTTTAGGGATGTCCAATCCCTCTCATATGGCGCTTTTCCACTGCATGGTACGGCACGGTACGGTTCACTTTTGGGGGGTTTTCCACTGGGTACAGTACCTGGTACTTTTTTTAGTACCACCTCGGTTGAGGTTCCAAGTGAACCGTACCGTTACCAAAACGTGACGTGTAAACTCTGCTGATCATGGATTGGCCGGAGAGAATCGTCACTACCCGCGTCACTGAACTTGCGACACAAACACAACAGAACCGCTAGATTTAAATCAGCACAGCCAGCGAAGGATCGAACGCAACTGTTCTGAACAAGCGCACCTTTTTTAACAACCAAAAAGTGGCTGTTTCGTTGTCTGTTGAGGAAGTACAGATGTTCCTCTCGTTGATAGCAGAGGAGCAGATCCAGCGAGAGCTTGATGGGGCGACGCGGAATGAAAACGGTTTTCAGGAGTCACGGCAATAGAGGAGGCGCAACTATAACGACATGTGAATAATCCCGCCCACTCTTAAGCGGTACTGAACTGCAGTGGAAACGCAAACTGAGCCGAGCCGTGCCGTGCCGTGCGTACCGTACTGAGCCGTGCCGAGCCGAGTCGTACCACGCAGTGGAAAAGCACCAATAGAGAGGCCTCCTTCATTCAGAGTTCAGCTTCAACACACCTGCATGAATGTTTCTAGTAATTCTAAAGAACTTTATTTAGCTAGTTCAGGTGAGTTTAATTAGTGCTAGACTCTTCTTGAAGGTGCCTTCCAGGAGCAGGATTGGATTCTGTTTTAGGGCCTATGGTTGAGTGTGTTAGTGTCAAACCTGATTGTTTGGTTTGGTGGAGAGGCACCTTCCAAAATACAGTGAGCTTTCTTCACAGAGGCTGCTACAGGCAGGGCCATCAATAACACCTTTGCTGTATTTTTCACACTGTTGGAAAGGTAAGGTCCATTTCGATGAGAATGTAAGTGACATTCCATCAATCAAGTAAGTGTTACACTAAGATGTTGTGTAATGGCTTAAATAAAGGAGAAACATTTTCACCACAATACCATTAGATGGGGCTGTGGGGTTAGGTAATATATGGATATATTTTCCATCTCATTTAAAGGTGCACTAAGCAAATTTTGCCAAACGATATTTGAAAGCACCAAAACAAGCACGCCCGTACCCCAACAGGACCTCGCCCCTATTTTGATAACTCCGCCCCACATGTACGTACACAACCCTGGCAGCAACAATGGCAGAATCTGGTATGCCTGCGGCCGAAGGTATGATGTCATCAATAAGTGAAAGCGATGTGTGTGGTAATTCAACGTAAAAATCAACGTAACTCACGTCGGTGTCCCGATTCCAGGCCTTCCCTCTCCTTGAGTCCTCTCCTCCGCTGGAAAGCTGCTCCAATATTTACGCTGGTCCTACCTTTTGCCTGATCGTTACCCTTCTGTTTTGTTCCTCCGAAATTTTCCTCTTTTTTTTTTTTTATCTGCCATCTCTCGCTATCTATAGTCGATCTGCTAATATCCGTCCTGTGCACACACTGACAGGGTTGCCAGGTCCCAGAAAAATTTCCAGCCCAAAGTTTACTCAAAACCCACCCAAAAGGAATGAAAACTAGCCCAATTTTTGCCCTGTCCAATCACAGCTGACAGCTGCTTTATTTCATTAATGCCCTTTAAATGAAACCTTTTGGTTTTATTTATTCTATGATTTAAATCTTAGCAAGACAAGTTTATATGCAGTATGTGCATATTAAATTATTTAATCTATATTTTATTTTTATTTTTTTTTATTTTACACTTTCTTTCATTTTAATTTTCAGCACTTTTCATGATAAAAGTTTTAATTAGGGCTGGGTAATATGGCCAGAAATGTTATGACAATATTTTTTTTCATATCACAGCAATATTTATCACAATATTCATTTACCATTATTATGGAAGGAAATGCTTTGAGAATGTAAATATAACTTGGTTTTTTTTCATAAATTCTTTCAAGCCAACGTTTAATTTAGGGCCCCATGAAATTCACTTTATTTTTCCTTAAAGGGGTCATATGATGCTGCTAAAAATAACATTATTTTGTGTATTTGGTGTAATGAAATGTGTTTATGAAGGCCAAACAAAGTAGTTTCGCTTTCACAATGAAACAGCGTCGCACACCGTGGCCTTGAGTGAGCTGAGGCCAGAGGCCTAGAGTGAGCCGCGGCCTAAAGTATGCGGAGGCCGGCTTGAGTGAGCAGAGGCAGGCGGGCTTGAGAACGGCGCGGCCGGC